GAGTTTCCTTAAGATTGTTGCTTGGAATTTCTTTTCAGTCATTTCAAGGGTTTCCTGCTCTATAGGGTCTGATATTTCAGAATTTCTGTATTCTTTTAGTAGTATTTTCTTGGGTTTTCAAATTTCTGGTATCTCTATGTTGATGTCTGGTCATCTGGCAGAGCAATTGTTTCTTCTGTTACTCTGGAGTGGGCTTTGAGGTGAGATTTTGTTTCTTTTTTGGGTCTATGCTGGTGATCATACTTGTGTCAATGCAGTTGACTGTCTGGTGGGCTGCCTGTATATTGGCTGTGGCTACTGCTGTGCCATCGAGCAGCTTTTGTGGCAGCTGGGGTTGTGGTGGTGGCTGTGGTGGACCATCTGCATGGAAGTGGTGTTTTGGGCATGCTCTCTTGCCTGCTTCTGGGCAGGAGGTGCTGTCCTCAGCTCCTGCCTAGGATCCCGGACCCAGCTTCTTCATATTATAGAATAGGGGCAACAATTACTTAACCCACTCACTTCAAAAAGTTTTGATGTGTATATTTTTGAGAACTGGCAAAATAAGGATATCAAATTATCTAAGAAGTCTTCTGTTAAGGAAACCTATGTCATATTCTTGAACTAGTATTTTCCAAACTTATTTAAGAACAGTCTTTCTTCATGGTTTCATCTGATTATCTTTCAGAATAGTGGTCCAAGAAATGCAAGTTTGTGAAACACTGATTTGGTCCAATACTTTCATTTTATACGTAAAGAAATAGAGATCAATAGGAAGTTAAATGACTTGGCCATGGTCACACAAAGAGAAATAAAATAGCAAAGCCAATAGAAGAGAAATAAGATTTATCTTCTATTTTCCTTTGAGATAAAAGGAGAGAAAGTATGTATAATGGTTAAGAACACAGGATTTCAAGCCAGAGAAATGGCTTCTAAACCACTTAACCAGCTGTGTAATCTTGATGCTGCCTTATCTCCATAGATGTCTGTTTCCTTATGTATAAAATGGTAACACTGATATTCACCTCATAGAATTATGAGGATTAGATGAGAAGCCTGATAATCACTTAGCACAGTATCTATCATATCATAAGTTCTAAATGTAGAGGTTATTAGTAAAAAGTGATGTTTATAGGAATTTAGCGGTAAGATATGGCTGATTATGTCAGGAAGCTAGAAGTTCCCCTGATCATCCTCTAAGAATGGATAGGGGACTGTCGGGCTAAAAGTTTGGTGAAATATACCTTTATTAAGAATTTACAATATGTGCTAGGCAATATTGTAGTAGTTTGAGGGTATAAGATAACAGGCTAGTCATGGTATCTAAGGGGCAAAGCTGCACTCTATCAACCTCTGGCAGATTTCAAGGCTTAGGAAGTACCAGGGAGTTACAAAGAGAGGAGGAGCACAGAGTTTAAGAGCCCAGGCCAATGTCCAAGTCCCAGCCAACACATAGTACCTGTGGACCCTGGTTCCGGGAATGACTTTCAGAGGCAGGACTGACAAGCCAAGGTAGGACTAGATTCAGAGCAAATTGTGAGTCTGGTGACTTCACCCAGATGGGAACTTGGTGAGAGATCAAAATTATCCAATGTGAGGAATGTGGTAGCAGGAGACTGGGAGGCTTTGGGCTCAAGGATATGAATAGAAGATTTAAGTGATGAGAACTGGTTATTTGGATCAGGCTTACTTTGTGTGCCAAAATGCCAGGCTCAGTACCTTACTGCCACCATGAGGCAGTACCATAGCATGCAAGGCCTCAAGTCCTCATGTCCCTATCAGTTCACTCCAGCTCAACACACACTAGGTATCAGTGTGACAGTGTTGCCAAAGAACAGTGGAAATAGACTTGTCTAATTGTTTTTGTTTCCTAAAGGGGGGCCTTGTTTTGGTCTCTCTAGCAGGTTAATGTCTTGAAAAAAGTCTGTTCTGGATTTTTGAAACTTAGACATAACTACTAGATACAATGCCTCCTCTTGAATTAGACCCTTGGCCAAACCAGCTGTAAACTGCTTTACTTGGGAGATTTTGAAGGTGGACTAAGTGTTGATATTAAGAAATTGTTGTTTTCTTGAGGAGGTGTGATACTCTTATTTTGGTTCAATGGAAACGTTTTCTAGAGATGCATTTAACTTAGGGATGAAATGTCCAGCTTACTTTAAAATACTTCAGCAAAATAAAAATAAAGCATTGAAAGAAAAACATAAAAACTTACAGGAAAAAATTGGTGCTTGTTCATGAAGCAAAGTATCAAAGTAATTATTTTTGTGTATAAAAATAAAGCTATAAAGGCAGTTCATGAAATAAAAAAAGAATATAATGATATGCTTTGTGTTTTTAAACAGCAATAATGAATAATATATACTTAATTTCATAACCCACTTCCTTGCCTAAATTTCACTTGGATGTTGTGGATTATTTTCTTTTGTTGAGGATAATGTCAAATAAAATAATTTCCCCCGGTCTAATTTCATCAGTAAGAGTTGATGATTCATACCCATCAGATCTCAATCCTAGAAAAAAAAAGTAACTTGAATTCAGAGATAGGAAAACTTACATAAACCTTATGTAGTGGAAT